GCTGAAACCCAGGTGGGAAATCAAGGCCAGGACTGGAACCCACAGTCCTAGGGCTTTCTGCTTAGGGCCCACAGGAGGCTAGTCTTCGACCCTGTCCTTGACACAGCATCTTCAATGGATCTGAGGCCATGTGCCACCCAGATCAGAGCAAAGGAGCTACCAGCAAGCCTGGCTACCTAAGGGCTGGTGTTCCTGAACAAACCCCACACTGGAGCAGACCTATACCCCCTCCTGTCCTCAGGCCAGCCCTGCCATAGATCCTGTGGGTGGGGTCAACACTGGCCCCACAAACACTACAGGGGCACACAAAGTTTGGGCAAAGTAGTTCCTGCCACAAAAAGAAGACAGTCAGGCAGGAGGTGGCAGAGCCTACAGGAGGGGCAAGCAAGGGAATTCCTCCTTGAGAAAGACACAGGAGCCAGGTCAGGAAGACAAACCAGAGTTCACAGCTATGGCCTGCCCCACAGGGAGCAAGGGCTGTTTTGTTGGTTGTTTGGGGAGTTTTTCTTTTTTTTGGGGGGGGGAGTTGTTTACTTGTTTGTTTTTGCCATTTTACACAAGGAAAAGCTAAGATCCAGGGAGGTTAAGTGACTTGCCCAAGGTCACAGAGCAAACAGAAGGTGGGCCCCTAGGTTTGAGCAGGCTGGCTGACTCTGAGCCCCGCTCTGCCTCTCAATAAACTGGGGTCCTAGAGCCAGACAGCCGCAGAGGTGAGCCTGGCTCTCCTCTCCCTCTCTCTCCCTCTCTCTCTCTCTCTCTCTCTCTCTCTCTCTCTTTCTCTCGTGTGTGGCCAAGGCAGAGTGTCGCATGTCCCTGGGCCTCTGTTCTTTATCCCAAGAACTCACTCACTAGCTGTGGCCATGGCCTGGACTGTGTGGGAAAGCTCAGGGCACACAGTGAACTCCCAGACCTGGCGGCCGTAAGGCCTGTGGCTGCTGTGGTCAATTCTGCCCACCCACAACTTCCCTTCTTGAGGATGAGGGAGGTCCTGCTGAGGACAGAGGTCTCCTCCCTGTCTCCCTCCAGCCTCCCTTTGGGGGGCCCCAGTCCCCACAGAGCTGCCCAGGGGCAGGGTGGGGGCAGGACCCGTGACCCTGATGCACTGCCCCAGCCCACTGACACTGGGTGTGCCAACCACAGAGATTTAAAAAATCTACCTCCTTATCACAAAGCAAGAGTGGGTGACACTCCCCAGCTGCAGGAATGCTGGCAGGACGCCAGCCCCGCTCCTTTGCCCTGGGAAAGAGGCTGACCTCTAATTCTAATTCTGAGTCCAGTACGACCAGGGGCCCAGATGCCAGGCAGACATCCTCAAACCCAGAGACACCAATCATCCCCCACATCAGAATCCAGACAGAACTGCCCGCTAAGGACCTTGGCCTGCCTTGAGGGGCCATTACCCTCAGGAGACCTTATGAATAACTGCAGGATTCTTCCTAGAAAAGTCAGCTTGAGGTGACGAGATGAATACGGAATCCTGAATCCAGTCTTGGGGCTGAGCCATGGCCTGAACAAATCCCTTCCCTACCTGTGCCTGGCTTCCCCCATCTGCGAAGCAGGATTGCCACTCCATCCTCTCCAATCCCCGAGAAGGCAGAATAACAGAGGCTCTGAAATTCTTACACCAGCCCCTTTCCCCTTGGGCAAGGTCACTGCTAAGCCTCAGTTTCCTCCTGCTCACGGTGCAGTGGGAGAGGAGGTGCACAAAGCCCTAGACTGGGAGCTCCTTGAGGCCAGAGACCAAGTAGGTCTTCTCAAGCCTGCGAAGCAAGTGCTGAAGGAAAACCTGACTTGAATGGATGGATGGATGGATGACACTGCTTTACGGTATTAAAAGTGCCACACAACAGGACAGCTTCCCATGTTCCTCTGTCCCAAAGCACACTGCCACTGGATTTCCCTGTCCCCACTGCTGAGGAGGCTAGGTGTGGGGGGTGGTCAGGCTGAGAGGGGCCATAGGAAGAAACTTCCAGACTTGAGCACCTCACAGTAAGAAAGGAAGTAGAGGGGAAGTAGCACTGTGGGAGGGACGGGGGCTGTGGGAGGGACAGGGGTTGGCAGGAGAGACAAGGGCAGGAATCCCCTCTCCCCGCCACCCCACCCCCCTGGCCTGCCTCATGCCCGGTCTGTATGGGGAAGGCCAGGACCTAGTGGAGCCTGGCAGCAGGAACAATGTCAGGCAGGTGCCGGCCAAGCTGTGTGAAAGACCTAGCCCGGTGTCATTGTCAGAGCTCAGCCAAGTGCAGAAAAGCAATTTACTGGTCACGCTGCCTGCTCCCCGCGGAAATTTTTAAAATTCTTCCGATTTGAGCTATCTGTGGTGTCCTGAGACATATGGAGAAGGGATGAAGGGATTTATTAAATTCCCAGCTTTCCTGCTTCCCAGGGTGGCTGGCGGGTGAGGGCGGGGCTCGCCACACCAGGGGTGGGCGGAAGACAGTGTCTGGCATTGAATGCGCTCATGGAAATGAGGCTGGGGCGGGGGGAGTAGGGATCTGCTCAAGGCCTGGTGGCTGAGGGATGGGAGGAGGGGAGGAACCCAGAAACTTCATTGCTAAGACTGGACCAGTCCCCCAAACTAGTGAGGCGGGGGAGGGACGGACACAGGTGCACCCACTCCTTGCTTAAGCAACGTACCCTCCTGGGTGGCTGAGAGTCTGCAAAACTTCTTCTGCCCCGTCATACAGCCCTTCAACATCTGGGTTTTACAAATGATGAAATGAAGCCTCCCAAAGAGGCACAGAGAGGGCACATGGAGCCCTCGTCCCTTCCCACCACGCAGGAAGGCCTCCAGGCTCCTGCATGCACAAAGGCACTCCTCTGCGGCCCTCTTGGTGCACTCTGCCCAGGACACAGCTGCTTTCTCTCCCAGCATCTGCCAATCTTGCCTCCACAGGGACCAGACTCAGACTCCCTGCAACTCACTCCCTGAGGCCACCCTGCATTTGTCCCCACAGTGTAGAAGGGAAGAGGAGCCTCCCTGAAACCCCAGAGATCCAAGGTGCTTCTGAAAATCTGGGCAGCCGAGCACCCTTTTCCGGACACACACACTGGCCTGCTAGTTCTTGTGCAGTGTGTTAAGGGTACTTTAGCTACCCCCAGGGTGCATGGACCAGGGTTAAAACATCAGCCCTGTGGCAGTGTGCACGTGGAAAGCCCAGCGAGGACAGGGAGGCAAAGACAGAGCGAGGGCAGAGAGTGGAGAGGAGGCTCGCTCACCTGTGGGAAGGCTGCCTCTTGACCTAGCAGGCAGACCACCCACCTCTTGCCCAAGATGCTGCTCTAGCTCTGGCCGGAAGGTGGAGGTGGAACGAAGAGTACAGACTCCCGCCCTCACTCTCCCCTCAGAGAACACAAAGACCACCCAGCAGCCCCTCCTGGGCCCCGCTTCAGAAAGAACACGTCCAGTAAACATCCAGAGGCTTGGGCAGAGGGGTTTGAAGGTTCCTCTTCTCCTCCTTGTCCATTGCCCCAGCTACTGCTCCAAAAAAAAGAGTTCTGCTCAAGCCAGAAGAGCAGACCCCCTGGAGTGACCCTAGGGCCTGCTCTCTGCTCTGCTGAGGGACGGAGCTGCAGACCAGACAAGCCCATGCCCGCACTAGCCTCTCTCTCTCTCACACCAGCCATTCCCCGCCCCCGTCCCCCTTCACCACACAGGGTCACATCTGCTTTGGCAAACAGCCAGCCTTAAGTTACTGACTCCAGTTGTATCGATTCAAGGAGCCACTGGGGACTCTCGCCTGACCAACAGGAGGAACGAGCCCATCAGTCTGTCCATCCACCCATTCTTCCAGCCCCCAGCCCCAACTGGCTGTCCCCAGCTCATTGCCCGTCCTGAGGGTCCTCTCCCAGGGGCAGGAAGGGAGATAACGGACCACCACCAGCAAACGCTGCAGGAGGCTGCTTCATGCAACCGCACTCAACACAGACTGCACTCCTCCAGGACCCAGAAGCCTAAGCACCTTCCCTGACTTTGCAAGGACACCTGCCTTTACCGAGAGGAGAAGTGCAGATAATCCCCTTTTGGCCTATGTCCAGCTCCTCCCGGGTTCCCTCCTCCCAGCTTTAGGTGGGTGGGGGCTTGGGCAGCGGGTGCTTCCTATTCCCTTTGCCCCCTCCCTGCTGAGGCAGCTCTGGTCTGGTTCTAATCGGGGCTGAAGTCTGCTCCCTCCCCCCCACACACACTTTTTCCTTCATTTCCACGGCTTTGGAAGCCAGAGCGTTCCAACTGTCTGCGTGCCAAGACCTTCCCGAGTCTGAAAGCTGCTGAAGTAACAGATCAGATTTTAGCAAGTGCTTTCCAGGCTGAGCGCCAAGCCCTCTTCTGATTCACGGAGAACGAGCAAGCGAGAGCGAACGGGTTGCTGGCGGGGACCAGCGAGGGCTGCACCACCTTGGGCGAGGGCGCGCGCGGAGCGGCCGACCAGAGCAGCCGTGGCTCGCTCTCTCGCGCTCTCTCCTCTCTCTCTCTCTCTCTCTCTCTCTCGCTCTCTCCCTCAACCACAGAGTAATTTACAACTGGTGCTCTCTCTCTAGACTCGAAATCCACTCAGCTGAAAGCAGCCTTTTTGTTTGGAAGCGCGACATTAGGCTAGGACAGTTGTGGCACACAAAATCGCTAGCTCCCAACTCAGCGCTGGTGGCACCAGGGGTCTTGGAGCTCGGGGATGGGGGGCGGAGGTGGGAAAAGGGGGTTTCGGCTAAGCCCGCCGACTCGGGGTTGATCGCCTCCCAACCGAGGCCCGCAGGGGTAGCGACAGGGGCGGCGCGACATCCCGGCCTGGCTGGAGCCCCGCAGCAGTGCCCCTCGCCCTCGGCCGGCCGGTGCCCCGGGGGCGCAGGCGGGGCGCGCGCCAAGCCGCCCTTCCAGGCCCTGGGAACAGGTGCACTGGGCTCGCCGCCCGGGAGGGGTGGGGCCGGGGAGGGGGCGCGGCCCCGGGAGGGGGTCCGCGTGCAACGCAGGCAGGCAGAACCGGGGAGCGAGTGGGGAGCCCACGTACCTGAACCTGGAAGCACAGCAGCAGAAAGTGTAAACACCTGCGGGAGAGAGAGGGACAGGCATCAGTGGGGCTCGAGGCAGGGGGCGCGCGCTCGGACGGACAGACAGACAGACAGACACGCAGGCAGGAAGTCTGGCTCGCAGACAGAGCCCCGGGCCCCGGGGCGCGCGCGGGCGCTTACAGGCAAGTGCAGGCGGAGGGCGCTGAATACATCGCTGGGCGGGGGGGAGGCGGCGGCTCCTAGCCCAGCCTGCACATGTCCGCTCCTCGCGGCCGGGACCGGGCGCCTCCGCCGCCGCCGCCGCCTCCTCGCCGGCTGCTGCTGCTGCAGACTCTGCTGCTCCGGGGCGCTCCGCGGCGCGCCCTGCGGCATCAGCGCCCCGCGCGGCTCCTCCCGAGCGCTGCGCCCTCCGGGCTGGCGCGGGGGCTTGCGGGGCGGCCGCCGCGGTGCTGGGGGCGCCCGGCCGCTGCGGGGAAGCTGGCTCGGGGCGGGCCGGCCGTCCGGGCGTCCGCGGGAAGCTAGCTGCCGGGCTCAGTCCGGGGGCGGCATGCGCGGCGGGCAGCAAGGCTGGGGCGCGGGGCCAGGGTCAGCGCTCCGGGGCCGGGGCCGGGGCCGGGGCGCGCGGCTGCAGCGCGAACGCGTCACGGCCGCTCCGTCTGGGCGCCCGCCGGCTCATGTCTCCTCCTCCGCGTCTCTCCGGCCGTGCGCATCGCCGCCTCCCACCACTGGCGGCGGCCGGGGCGTTTTCTACGCGCGGGCGGCGAGGGGGCGGGGGGCCGGGGGCGGGCCCGGGCCCGAGCCGGCACAATGAGGATGCGGGGCCCGGGGCTCCCCCCTCGGGGCGCGGCCGGTCGGGCGCTCAGCTCGCCTGGGTGCGCCGCGCCCACATCAAAGGCGGCCCTGCCCGCTCGCCGGCCTGCCGCGGCCTCTCCCCTGCCTCCTCCTCCTCCTGGCGGCTCCGGCTTGCAGGGGAGGCGCGCAGACGCTCGGCGACGGGACCGGCAGCTCCGAAGGGGCAGAACACCCGCGAGGCGGCAGCCGGCGAGCGTGGGGAGCCGTCGGAGCTCCGCGCCCGCGCGCGGTGGCCCGCACCGCCACGCCCGCGTCAGCCCGACTGGACAGCGGCGGTCCCCAGGACGCAGTTAGGTGCGCGGCGTCCTGGCACACCCACCTTTGCCGTTTGCGCTCACGTCCACTAGCGTGAGTGGGGAGCAGGGAGAGGGCGGGCAGGACCAGCCCCTGGGGCGGCCCCACCAAAGAGGGGGCCGATTTTACTCGCCCCGAGTCCACGCAGGATCGGGGCTTCCCCCAGACACCCCTGGTCGGATGACCAGGCCAAGTGCGCCCTCTTCCTCTCTTCGCGTCCTTGCCGCCCGAGGTGGGGAGGGCTCCGGGGCGTCTCCCCCTCCCCCTCCAGGGCTCCAGGGTCGGTTGTAGCGATCCCAGCTGTGCTCTTCGTAAGCGAGCTAGCTTTGGAAACACACGGCTACCACCTAGTGGCCCCGGGCGTCGCTGCAGCCCCAGCCCGGACGGACGAGCTGCCCGGGATAGCCTGCAGGACTCTGGTCAGCGACTGCTCCAAGCCCTCTGCAGGCCCCCTTCCCAAACCCAGGCTAAGATTTGCGTCTGCTTGCACAGTAAGGACTCTCGCCCATGCCCAGAGACCCCAAACTCCTGTCCCTCACACTAACTTAACTGTAGACGTTGTCACAAGCCTGCCTCCCTCCCTCCGGAGCCCAGGTCGGCCAAGCTCTGCTTTGGATTGAGGCTGGCGGAAATGGGACACAGTGGGAAAAACCTGTTTTTCCCAGCAAAACTGGAGCCTCCCTGTGTCCTTGGCTCTGGCTGATATTCTCGTTTCTCTCCAGCATGAATTGGGGAAGAGGCCATCTTATCATGCTGTTTCCAGAAGTCATGGATGTGAAGTACCAGTATTTGTTCCATGTACCAGACCTCCCTGCAAGCTATTTTCAGTTCCTTTTCCAAGCTAAGACTATTCTGAACAGATAGCACCGGAGCAAACCTTTGCAAAAGCAGGTGCTGCCTGACAGGAAACCATCTCGCACAAAGCTGTGGAACTGAATTTATGTCGATTCTCCGATTGCCAGACCCGGTCTTGTGAAGTTACTAGGAACTTCCTAAGTGTTGAGAAAATGAACCCATCCCAAGATAGGATCAAATGACCAACTTTGAACAAATGACCAGAATCGCTCCCAGGTACCCTTTGTTGCCTCAGCTTGACCTTGCTTCTGCACAGCCAAGGTGGCTCAAGTTTTACCACCTGCTTGAAGTGTCTGAAATCTTCTGGCTAAGATACACTTGTAGGTTTGTAGACAGTTACAATTTTCTATTTATCTTGAGTGGAACAGGTATGTAATTATTGTTACACCTAAACTGCTTCACGTTTTTCTTATCTATCGCACAAGCAAGACAACACAGAAAGCCCAGTAAAGAGTTTTGAGTACCAGCATAAACTCGAGTCCCAGTCCAAGGTTGACAAATTCCAACAGGTAAGTCTGAGGCTGTCTTCACCTTCAGAGCATGAGGAAGAGAGGGACCACACTTGCAGATTTGCTATGCACAAGTGAGACACGGCACAGTGAAGGCTGATATCAATTCTGGCTTTCCATTTTCCTCACAAAGTAGGGAGGTCAACCATTCCTAGCTGAAGGCTCTAACACCTTTTCCTCCCAACTCGGCTGTTTACTACCTCCCTTCCCTCCACCCACATCCTCTTCACAGAGATGCTACCAACATAACCTACTAGCCACATGCATGAACCTTGCAGTTCTATCTGGATTTGTGTTCATTTGGCACTTGAGATCCTGCTGTATTGTCAGGCCCTGGCTGAAGACACACTGACAACACACTTGGCTGCTTCTACTGAAGCTGAGGCTAGGACTCAAGTGGTCTAGCAGTGCTCTACCAAAAAGTCATGTCAGAAATAGCAATAGCAGGTAAGCCCATACGTTAGGTGCTACATCCTTCCCAGAGCTCTGGAAGCCAGTAAGACAGGATGATTTAGAACAGTAGTGGCAAGACCTACTTTTATATGAAGTCTAGGACCCAAAGGGAGGCGGCCAGCCACAAAGGCATATTCCAGGCAAAAGATGTCAGATGGCTGGCGTGTGTCAACAGTGGTGAGTGGATAGTGAAAGCAGGTTCTCACAGGAAAGCAAGCACTGTAAGGTACTGTTATAAAGTATTTCAATGCATCCATGAAGTGTGCACTTCAATTGACAAGCTTATTGTGTAAGCATCGCCTTGTCTGGTGATCTCCCTCCAACCACGGACCCATTTCACCTAAGTTAACGCGTGCAGTACACACCCTTCTACTTCTGGCTCAGTGTTTTGGACTCCCACTGTATGGATGTGGTTTGTCAATGTAACCCATCAAAAGCTTTGAAACTGAGGTCTAGTTACCCCAGCTAAGCGAAGAGTAAAGGGGCTGAGGGCTTCAGTCCAGTACCGATGTGGTAGACGTGTTGGGCATCAGGCATCCTTGTGTTCAATTCCCAGCTCTAGGGCAGTCAATTGGGGCAGCTGAGGGAGGGAATGGGAACACAGATGACCTGATGAAATGGAAGCCTGCACAGCATTAAAGTGCTCTTCTTACTAAGCAGAGCCTTGGGTCCTGTGTTGAGATGTCTCTCCTCTCCCTATCCCTGCCAGTATGGAAGTGAACAAGGGAGCAGAGCCGTCTGACACTTGTTCTCCACCTTTCCCACTCTGATTAGACTCCCATGACTCAGAGAAAGTATGACGGAAACACTGGAGCCCAAGAGGGACATCTAGCCCCAGAACACAGGACAGTCCATACTGCAGGACCACACTGAGTAAGCAAGTAGACCCTTGCAGAGGCATCTCTAGTTCCCAAAAGCACCTCCTGCAACCTTTACAGCACCAAAACCTTATTGCCAAGCCAATGGGTCAAGGTGCTCTGTGGTGAAGAACTGGTTGGAAGATGCGCAACGCTTCCTTTGATCCAGTTTCTAGAACCCACATCAGTCTTCAATGTACTTGGAGCCTCAACCTTTTCTTCTGAGACAATCTCAACAAAGCCTGCTTGCTCTTCTCTCCTTGCTCACTAAGCTAGGTTAAGTCAAAAGCAGGCAGTAGCTTCTCCAAGTGTTGCAAAGCAAATATAAACCTCAAGTCACCCTTAGCCACTGCTGAAAAGGGTTAGTTTTCTAGTTTTGCCTACTCTCTGGCTAAGCTCTGGGCTCCGTCAAACAGTGCATGTCCTGTTTTTTTTTTCTTCCCCTCCCTTACTTTTCCAAAGGGTCTGGCCAAATCCCATCCTGCAACCAGATCTCAGTATTAACAAGCAATATTCCAACTGTGCGCTATAAAAGCCATTCTTTTTATACAGGCACAAAGGCTCTTTGGGGAAACAGCTCATTCCAAGTCTAAGAAAATGAGCAAGATGAACTTGAAACACTGTCACACAAGAGGGAGCCAATGCCCAGAGCATGGTCCATGCTGGCCGTATTTTGAAGGGAGACTGAACAATGAATTGAAATGCAAATACATAAACCCATGGGTTCAGAGATTGCAGGACACCAGCCCGTCATTCTGAAAGCTGATTTAAAATGATAAAAATCCACAAAAAAAGAAAACTGCAGAAGAAATGATAGGTACTCCTATCCAGCGGCCTACCAAGATCCTGTCTTAAAACCCAAAAACCAGGGACTGAGGATGTAGTGCAGTCCCTGAGCACAAGCCCAAGGTAGCACAAGAGGTTCCACCCCCATCTCCACAATGACACTTGTTTTGTCCTAATAAGCACCTAAAGTACTTAAACCAACTTCATGTAAGTGTGGTGAGAATCACTAATGGGTTACTCTGTACAAAGGCTAAGATCAGAAGTTTCCTAACTCACAAGCCTAGCTATCCAGTTGGCTGTTACCAGGTAAGTAGTGTCATGCATTTTCCAACTACAAGCAGACAAAATTGCTATGCTCCTAAATCAACAAGATTAAACACAGCAGGCCTACAGGAAGAAAAGGAAAATGAGTCAGAAAAGACAACTCCAGAATTACATCCCCAATTCTGGGTACAACCAAAGAACCATCCATTTAGGAAAAATAAAACCAACAGAAAATTTTGAAAAGGCAGAAAATAGCTTTTTCCTCAAAGGTTAAACAAAAAGAATGAGGAACAACATCCAACAGAAAGCCTAATGAATGGAAAGAGTACTGTAATCTCAAGAAAATGCCCAGAATGGGAACTAGGCCTACAGTCCACCACCACGGCTCAAGAATCCAAAAAAGCAAAAACTTCAGAAAACTCATCTCACAAAAGAGCACATTAAAACCATGGACTCAAAAGCAGAAAGAGGCACACACTTAAAATTCTGAGAGTTGGCCAAAGGAGCATGGAGTTTTATGCAGAAATATAATAACCAGGATGTTTTCAAACTCAAGGACTTTGAATATTCTTTTCCCCATGTGTTCTTACATCACTGGAGGACATGCCACAACAATAGGACACCTTACAGTCACTCAAAGGCAGAACACAAACACCTTGCATTACTCTTCGGCGGCAGTCGTCTACCCATTCAGATGAAGGACTGGGTGATGAGGTTGCTCCAGGCATTAACACGCCAGGCTCCCTTTGGGAGGCAAGGTGAGCAGACAGGACGCCTGACGGGCCACTTGGAACCATGTTCGCATAGTTAGCGTATTCATCACGAGCTGGGAATGCTCGGCGCTAAATCAAATCCTCTTGATGACAGCTGACTCTAGGTGATGATTTTCTTCTTGGAGGGCTAGGCAGGGATTTTCTCACAGGACTTGATACTATGTTTTTAATCACCTACGTTTTAATTCTGACCAAGTACAAAACAGTTCAGTAAGTAGAAAGAAACAGGGCTGCTTTATTAAAATACGGAGTTTATTTCACACGTATTGGTCTCCCACCATCTCCATGTCTGACCACCACTACGTCCTAGCATAACATTCCATACACACTTACACCAAGCAAGGGTGGAGGCTCCATCTTTTAAACTAAACAAGCATTTTGGACAACACATTCTTGGCAATGGAACCTGGACAACATTTATCAAACACGGGAGGAAAGTTCTCACTTTGCATTATAAAAAGGACAGCCAGATATCAACTCTTACATAAGTGAAATAAGACGGAATTTCAACAAACTGTTTCAACTATTTTTCTTAAAGAGACTTCCTCCATTGCCAGAGATCTTGAATAGCCTGGAAAAAAAAAAAAAAAAAAAAAAACCCCAAGGTTAGGCAGCACAATGCTTCATAGGCATCAAAAGTTAAAGTAATCCTCACAGTGAACATCCTCATTTTCACTGTAACACACAAGTGTGTTCCCTCTAGGTAATTAAGGTTCTTCTGGAAATAGGGTCTTGAGCATTATTTGCCTGGACTGGCCAAGAACAAAGATTCTCCTGGTCTCAGCCTCCATAACAGCTAGCATTGCAGGCATGAGCAACCACCCCTCCCCGATCAGGCCCAGCCAGGGCAGGGGGTGGCAGGTCTGTGATCCCAGCTAAGTGAGGTAGCATGGGGTGGGGGAGGAGAACCTTACCTGAAAAATAACTAAAGCACAAAGGGCTATTGGCATGGCTCAAGAGGTAGAGCACCTGCCTACATCCATCATGGGACCAGAGTTCAAACCCCAGTATACCAAAATAAAATTCTCTTTTGGGCAGTTGAATACAGCTGTTACTATGGACTTTGCTTGACTTTACAACCATTTTCAGTACTGGATGAATAACTGTGTGTAAGATGGTTATCAAACAACCTGCACCTTTAGGACAAATGAATTAAAAAATAGCTAATTGTCAATTCCTTGTAACTTACTGAAGAAGTAGAGTTCTGACAAAAAAAAAAACCACAGGACTGTCATGCCTTTGCAGGGTGCCCTGTAGCCTCAGTCTCCTCTACAGTGGTTCAAAAGTAAGAGCACAAAGGGTGAAGGTGGTGTGTGCTGGCTTAGCACCAGGTCAAGAGTACCTCCACAGGTAAGGACTATAAAAAACACTGAACTCAAGCTAAGAGAGCTTATTTCTCATTAGGTTGACTTTAGTGAAACGTTTCCAGTGTTTGCCATCTGTGGATAAAAGAAAAGCAAAGAGCAGGCTAATAGTCAAATAAATGGAGCAAGACAACCACAGCTCACTTCCTTTAGCCACGACAGTACCAAAAGCACAGCTGAGCTGCTCAGCATTCAGAAAACAATTTACCAACTATACAAAGGCTGGGAAACGTACCCAAAGGTATTTTCTCTGCCTCTGCCAAGTACATTCTCAAGTTCCTGTAAGTACGGTCTATGGAATGCTTTATAAAAGGAGCATCCTAGTAAATCACCATGAGAAAATTCAGTTACCTCCTGGTCCGTCATCCGGAAGCAGTTCTTGACATAGTTGATGAACTTGGCTTCCACCTTGGGAAGAGAGCCACCCTAGAGAAGGAGGCACGGTTAAAGATCAGCACAGTAACACTGCTTCAGATTATCAGGAAATACCCCAAGGTTTGCTGCTCCCAAGAGCAGCTTGTCTAAAAAAGAAAAACTGTCATTTTGGACCCAAAAGACCATCAGGACCATGGTGTTTCCAAGTAACAGGTCTGTTGTAAGGTTCAAGTCTTCCCCAGCAGCTACCCTGGAAATCCTATCGCATGCAAGCAGGCAGCTCACCTGCCTGAGCCAGTCATTTTCACCACCCTTCCTCCACCACCAGAAAGATTCACAACACTTTCTTCCCTTTGGGTTTCTTGTCACAGTGACCAAGACTGAAGATAACCAAATACCCACTGTTCACCAAGAACCCAGGTCAGCACAGTACTATCCTGGGCACAGGAAGCAGTACTGTACTTCACAACCTCCAAACTGAACTTGGAACTTCCTTCACATCATGAATGCAGTAAACAACACAACACCATCAGCACTACCTAAGAGTTTGTCACCAAACTCTCAGACCTTACAGTTATTGCAAATAACTTGAAATGTCATCACCGCTATGGAATTATCAGTGTGCTGCATGTACTAGTTTTATGACCCATCAACTAAAATTTAACTGGCTTTCTTTGTATCCTTTCATGCAGTTTAACAAGATTGAGAAGACTTCCAAATGCCACAGGGACTATGCCACAATTGGCTATGGTATTAAGACAGTCAACTGCCCCATCACCTAGGGAAAAAGCCTCACTGTAAGTTTCCATTTTAAAGTGATTGCCATGTATATCTGTATTTGGTTCATGCAATTGAATTTATTTATTGAGCTGCTATGAAAAAAAAAAAACAGTGATTAACACTTGACCAAAGAGATTAGCTGTGTGCACAAGTGACAGAAAGCAGTGGGGCTCACTAAGTCACAGCAGCAAACAAGCGCTTTAGCGCGTCAAGAGATGCTGCCAGCCTGGAAGGGTGGGAGCAAGTCAGGAAAGGGAACAATAAAGAGAAGATTTCAGTGTGGACTACATTTGTTTCTTCTTTACTTTTTCCCCATCTTTGGGTTAAATACCAGTAGTGCTCAGGACTATTTAATGCACTTGCAATTAAGCCAAGGAGACTGGGCCACATTAAAATGAGGAGGGGCACAATTTCAGCACTGAATGCAAGGGAATCTGAGATTGTCTCAATTGTGATTCCAAGACATTTAAAATGACTGCTCCATAGGCTGCACTAAAGTTAAGTTTGATAGTGAATTCCAGTCCCCAGCCAAGGTAAGTGGCAAGTCTCCCCTCTTCTCACACAGACAAAAGGAGCCAGAGCCTGCCAGTCCCACAAATTCAAGGTATCACCACAGGTATTATCCAGGGACACTTGCTGGAAAAGGGCAAATAAAATGATTCAATTTCCTAGAAAATGTTTAATCACAAGTGATTATGTATAACTAACAAAGTGTCAGAGTCACCATTTCTCCAGCTGCTCCCCACTGCATGAAGACTCATGCCCTCTGCTGGCTCTGCAGTATAATAACAGAGCAGTCCTCGTTTTTATCAGATCATTTAAGATCAGAATTTCCTACTTTGATAGGCTTTTTTTTTAAAAAAACTCACATATGCAAACAAGACATTATAAACTTTCTATAACCCACTTTTGAAAAAACTCCACATACCACTCAAAAGGGATAGGTGTACTGAAAGGGTAAAACCTGAACAGTTTGTCCAAACCTCCACACAGGTACAATGAGGGAAAGACCTCATCTAGTTAAGATACTTCACTCACTTTTTCTATACTTGCTTGCATTTTTGCTTTAATGTCTTCTACAGAACTAGGTCCTTTTGGTGTTTTAGGAGTTTTTTCCTGTTTTTTGAAGGATTCTTGACCCTGGAGAAAAAGTTCAAAAGGTCACAACACTGTAGCTTGTTATTAAACCCACCTTACAGGATTTCCTGTTACCCTTACAATGCTCCCCTATAAAAACAAGCACACAACTAGAGTTGCTATTGTAAAGATTAATGCCACAATTACTGTGTTCTTAAGAACCATTCCTTTAAGAATTAGAAATTCAGGAATATTTAATATTCCAAGTTTTCAGCTCAAAAGTACAACTGAAGGGCCCCAGAAATGCAGTGCAGCTTGTATCTAGACCCACCCAAAGTACAGTCACCTCTTTAAGTAGACCACAGGTCTCCTATGCAGCCAGGAGTGGTCATCTGCTCTACATTGCTATGTGCATTTCAAGACTCCTCATGGGAAAAACTGTTTAAACCTGGTTTTTTGGTGGTTCTGGGGAATGAACCACACCCCCAGCCCTTTTTGCTTTATTTTTAAGACAGAGATGGGATCACAGGCAAGATCAACATGCAGGCCACTTTCCTCTTTAAGACACCAGTTACAGGGCTCCCCATGCACCCATCAGACTCTTTCCCAGCACAATTTGCTGGTTTCTCCCTCACTTCTTCAGTAAAATCTTTTTCTTATGCATGGTGCCACTTACTTTTGATCTTGGTGTTGATGGTTTTGAGTCTTTTCCATTCTGGTTTGATTTTTGTGCATTTTTGGCTGGAGTATCTCGTATAGACTGCAATAAAAAATTAATGTTAAGCCCGTAATCCTAGCTACTCAGGAGGCAGAAATCAGGAGGATCATACTTCAAAGCCAGCCTAGGCAAATAGTTCACTGAGATCCTAACTTGAAGAAAGTCTATACACACACACACACACACACACACACGCTGCTGGAGTGGCTCAAGGAGTAGGTGGAATTCAAATCCCAATACCACAAAAAATAATAATAAGTGTCTCCTCTCTCCCACTGTACACATCAGTGCAAATAAACTTATCCCAAACCATGGTAAGAAAAAGCAGCAGTGGGCTGGCAGAATGGCAAGAGTGCCTGCTTAGCAAGTATGAGGCAGTGTTCAAATGCCAGTCCCACCAAAAAAAAAAAGTATTTTAAAGTTAGCACTGTAGAAGGCCACATGTTTAAAGTGAAGTTTTGGGCAAATCCTATCTCATGACTATTTTCAATAGATCATCTCCCAAGCCAGTTTCCACTAACTACGGCTATGTCCTTCTCAAACCCTGTTCTCTGTCACTGTCTACTTACTTTCTTCACTGGAGCCTTCTCTTCAGCTTCATCCTCCTCAAAATCATCGTCATCGTCACTACAAATGAAGCCAAAACATTAGATTCTTTTGAAATCTGGGGAAATTGACAGAAGGATCTAAAGAGAAGTGACCCACATTCACTGCAGCACTGTTCCCAACAGGCAGGAGGTAAAAGCAGCCAGAGCTGGATGAAGCATACACACATACAAGGCATCCTGCCACACACTGCAACATAAACCTATTGCATTGGGTGAAATATGCCATTCAAAGGGGTGAATACTGCATAATTCCACTTATAATGTATCAAAAGTGAACACGCTGTGCTTGCCAACAGCTGGTGAATGCAGACCTGTTCAGCTCTGTAGTAACACCATGTTGCAATTGCAAAGCTTGACTAGGCCAGCAGACTTAATGTTGTTAAAATGCCAGCACTCCCAAACAGATTAGGTTTAACACAATTTAAGAATCACAGCTGGCTTGTCTGTAGAAACTGATCCTAAAATTCATGTAGTTCAAGGGACTGGACTGGATGTACCAAAACTCTTGAAAATGAGTATCACTGACAGATACACACTTGATCAAGAGGTAGGGAGACTTTAAAGAGCCCAAGTGTAAAATTAGACCTCTTGAAAATTAACTCTTGTGTTCTGGTCATCAAGAGTAAAGACAGGGTGGTGGAGTGTAGTGGCTCAATCGAAAGAACACTTGTCTAGCAGGTGTGAGGCCCTGAGTTCAAACCCCAGTGCTGCAAAAACCAAAAAACAAAACGCAAAATATAACCCTTAGAATGACACAAAATATTTGCAAATCATGTTTCCAAGTTACATAAGGAATTCTTACGATTCATTTTTAAATGGCAAAGAATCTGAACAGGTATTCCTTACAAGACACACAAATGGTCAGTAAATACTAAAGAACATCGTTATTCAGGGATATGCAAATCAAACCCAACAATATTATCACTTGACATAATTGTTGATGGCTATACACAAAGTGTTAGGATATGGACAAACCAGAACTGCAAACACTGCTGATGAAAAAGAAAAGTGAAAAAGTGCCCAGACATTCATAGAACCAAGGCCAAAGTGCAACAACGAAAATTCTCACTCACTGAGTGAATAAACCCAATGGAAAGTCTAGAATTCAATGACTATTCAGCCACACAATAATTAAGTACTGATACTAATGCCACATGAAGGCAATGACAAACACACCAATTCCCTTTGAGTATCTGCAACAAGTATGGACAAAGCTCAGTGGCTGGACAGAGCCTGAGCAGCACGCTTTTTGAGACGATGGGATGTTCCAACATTACTGGGGAAGCCTTTGATTCTTTGCTGATTCTACCACTGAAGCCTGACTGCTACAGTGGGTTGTGACAAGGTTTGAATGTGGGAGCCCCTGGTTCTCCCTAGAGACGCTCATTAACCTAAAGCTGTCTGCCGGCATCAACAGAGTAATCTCATTTCCATCCACGAGTGTTGCCTCTTCACTATGTCTTCCAGAAGGGTCTTCCCATTTTCTCACTCATGTCCTAGATTTGAGATTATGGCCTGGATCTCAGTGGTCCAGGCCTGATCTCATGGCATCTGCTTATTATTCTATGGAGTAATGGGCAGGAAAATTCTTCAGGTGCACCATGTACTTTAAAAGGGTGAGTGGTAGGGGAGAGGAGAAATCAAATTCCTTTTGGGAAGTCCACAGAATCTGTATTAGCAGTAATAGAACTGGTTTACATCTCAGTGCTAACACTGGCCTTGGAACCCATCCTTGCAGGTGCTTCTACTAGAAACAAGATGCTTTACCTTTAAGGACACTCCCTAACTTATCTGAAAAGGCTTACCACTCCAACAGTCATGCACCACCTGAAGACAGGTACATTTTATAATGTGCTTACACGAACTAAGACGGCTAGGTCACTAGGCCATACACCACTGACCAAGAGGATATGCAAATGCATGCTGTCAGTGTGCCACCCACAGGGGGTTCATTCCCTCTTGGCTCTTTCAATACCAGGAATGCTGCTCAAGCACCTTATATAAAAGGTTTCAGCATTTGCATAACTCTTACCTACCTTCTCATTTGGGGTGTGCTCTGGGATCAATTTCCATATACACACTTATATATCTCAGGATACGTCAAATACGTAATACAATGTAAATATTCTATAACTAACTATACTGAGGGGCTAGGAAGGTATAGCTCAGTACAGTGCATGCCTACCAAGGCCAAGGTCCTGAATTCAGATAAGAAATGCTACACTGTATTACTTAAAAAATGGTAACAGAAAGGCCTACGTACAGGTTGAGTACAGTTTAGAAGGATCAGAGTATTTCTGACCTGTGGTTGGTTGAAGCTAGATGCAGACTCCACAGACACAGGGTCAGCTGAACATGCATTATATGGTTTTACGGTTATATACAAACACGAATATAACCTCAGTCAAGTAAGTGTACACCATCCCATCCCCCCCAAACAGGATCCCTCATTTTCCCAGTACAAGGCAAACTTCAACTCAAACTTTCCTGCCACCTATATGCTGGGTGGTTATCATCTCACCCTACAATATGGGTTCCTCTAGCCTGCACTGACTGTCCCTTACCACCCATGCTCCATTAAAACTTATTTTGATCTCAACATCTATGCTTACATCCATTCCCTAAGATCCAGAAGAACACAATGTATAAAAATTCCTGAACTGTGATTTTATCAGCAATTACACTCATTTTAAATTTAAAGAGAGGAAAACTTCCCAGGCCCAGCAGAATCAGTACAACTTTCAGGCCCTACTCCAAAGCTCTCCTAGAAGGAACAGTGAGGTCTGAGCCCTCAGCTAATATGCTGCTATATACTCTAACTTGGTGTCATTACTTCCCCTTTGTTTCCTAGCTTAATTCTCGCCACATTCTTCAGGTTGTGACAGTGAACAACTAGATTATTTGTAAGATTGACATGCAGGTATTCCCAAGGACTCAGTTCTTCAGCCCTGAGCCATTTTTCTGCCTTCACGTATGCTCAGTTTTTTCTTCTGTAACAACCAATGTTGCTTTGAGGCTTCTGAAGCCCCAGCCTCTAGATTTGTTCATTAGTACATTTCTCTTGAAGCCTTAAATTCTATCTCAAATATCTTCAGCAAGTAGTTCAGTAGTAGGGACAAAACTTAGACAAGCTTTCTAAGCACAAGTGACACATAAGACCAATTAGGAAGTTGTCAACAGTACTATGTATTACACAGCTTGATCTAGTGTACTAAAACTTTCCAACTAAAATTTAAATTCCCTTTTGAATCTTAGCTTGTCAATACAATAAAGAGCTCAAGAGCCACAGACAAAATCAGTAAGGAAAGTTACTTTATCTATCCTCTTCTTCCCACCCAATCCACTCATGTATAAGCTGGTTAGTGTAAAGCACCCATGGTCTAGTGACAGTAAACACCCACAACCCTTCTGAAGCACAGAAGCTAACCCAGGCTCAACAGCCACCAATCTCTAATTATCAATTACAGAAGATGGCTGGCAAGTGGCTGTCCTAAAATCCTTCTCACACAACCACACAAGTCTAAGCATTTACTCACTCCTCCTCATCGTCATCATCTTCATCCTCTTCGTCGTCATCTTCATCAGCAAGTTTTACTTTTTTCTTAAAAAAAACAAAACAAAACAAAAAACTCATGAGCAACAGCTGACCTTCACCACACCCAAGGCTAGAAGCCACACCTGCATTAAGGCCAGGTCTCTACCTGTGGAACCTTGCTACCACCTCCAGGGGCTGACCGCTTCCCAGACACACTCAAGAGTTTCACATCTTCTTCCTCCTCATCTTCTGACTCGGCGTCTTCCTCCACAGCTGGAATAAAATTAGACACGACCGTACTCCCAATAAGCAAGAACTCAAAGTAAAAAATGAACACTGATAGCATAGGAATGAGTTTTTTAAAGACAGATTCTACTAAAAATACAAGGGAGATCAGAAAATTAAGATGGTTGAGCTAATGCTCACTGCTATTTATTTTAAAAAGCAAAATCAGACCTTCCTAGACATAAATTACTCAATTCCTACTTGAACCAATTAAAAGGTAACGATCTAGAATAAAGCACACTGTACAAAGTCCAGATCAGGAATGGAGCCACTACAGTAAATCCAAGTAGCATACCTACTAAGTGCTGGCCGCTGATATGCACAGGCCCCGAGCCACACTTCAACCTCAAGACCACAGGTGGTGTAATTTCAAAGCCCCCAAGGGAAACCTACAGGACAGAAATCGTTAATCACTGATCATAGTGAAAATGCTTGCAGTAACAAACCACACAACTGAATGCAATTGACCTACCCACTCCAGACCTGACCATTCAACTTCACAGGGACAGACTGGAGCCAAATAAAATATACCTTTCATTTTTGTTACCCAAATGCCACCTATCTTAAAGCCATAGATATTGCCCTTACCGTTGGCTGTACAGACATTTTCAGGGTTGCTAATGTCACTTTAATTGGACTGCCTTCATAATTCATTGCCTCTGCTTCCACGATGTGCAGCTCATCCTTGGCACCAGCGCCTAAACTGACCTGTGAGCAAAGCACAAGTTCAAGCCCCAGGTATTTCATGACCAACCCTCCCCCAATCTGTATGTGCTAAAAACAAAGTACAACGTGTAAGAGGGAAAAAGCAAAAGCATGTGAGAACAAACAGACACTCTGCATTTATTTGCTAATATCTGGTTTTTAACCATGGAAGCCATTCTTAATGACACACTTGTTCTGTTTCACCTCCTTGCCCTGAACCACTAGTCAAATGTTACTAACAGTTCTAGAGACAACTTGAGGCAACAGATGATTTTGTGTAGATAGGCTGGAGGACAAGCTGGCTTTTGTTAATTGGGCCCTGAAAGTTTTCCATCCCACCTTGGGCAGTTTACTATATAGCTTGCCAAACATTAAAGTTATTTAAACTAGTTTCACACAGATGCCAGACAAAACAGACAAGAAATTAATTGGAATGATCACAAATGTATTCCTTCTGAATAAATTAAAATACACTGGTCAGTGCCAGGAGACATCTAAAATAGAAAACCTGAAACTAATCAATCAAAACAAGTTTAATTCTTTTTGATGTTATAGTTGGGAGATACTTCACTTTATGAATCATAACAAATTACCAGGGGAGTTGGGGAGAGAGAGGGAAGAGAAGGGAAGGGGAGAGAGAGGGAAGGGAAGGAAAGAGGGAAGGAAGGGCAGAGGAGGGGAGGGGAGGGGAAAGGGGAGTTTGATAGTGTTAAGGAAGAAGTTTTGAACTGTTAAAGAGAAATGACAATATCTTCTGTGGCTGTTCTTTTTTATAAAACTTATTATTGTTATAAGTGATAAGAGTTAAAAGTCATTCAGAGTAAACTCAAACTATTGGCTCAGCTTTTAAAATTATAACATTGGACAAATCAAAGTCAAAGTATAAAAGCCCAGAACAATATTGGGATATGAGAACTTTGGTCAGATGTTAGACAGACTATCCAAACAGCTGGAAAAGATGTTGATTATCCTTGGGAAATTTGTAATGTATTTGACTCATGTTTTCATGGATCTGTGGACTGTCCTAGGGGGTTTGAAGGAGAGAAATCATGCCAAGAACTTTATCTGGAAAATGATAGTATTTTACCAGTTTTCCAATTAGACAACAAAAGAATTTAAAGAACAATAACAAGAATACTCACAATCAACAAATGCTATCTCTGCATTAGTAATGTTGAGGTTGTATGTCCAGAGTGACTGAGTAAATTAGCCAAATTCATTTAATTTATACACAACTATTTCTTAAAAATGTATCCACTCATAAATACAACATAAAGTGATTAAAAAAAAAATAATAAAAAAAATAAAAACAAAGTACAATGGAAAACTGATTTGTCACATCCAGTAAAAATGCAAACATTGATGTGGACCATCTACAAGTACCAAGTGAGCAGTTACTGCAGAGGCCCACCACTGCCCGGGGGCTTTTCACCGCAGCTGAAGGACAGCAAAACAGGAGCAGGCAGACTTGACATGACTCACATGGTCCTTGCCACCAGTATGCAGATGACATATATGGGACCCGATTATTCAAATACCATATTACAAGCCATCAAGGAAGCAAAAGAAATAAGCCACATGAACAGGAAACGGAAGGCTGGAAGGTTACATTTTAAGTACCGTTCTCAGGGATAACTGGTGCTCATTTTCATCGTTATCCACCTTAAAGTGATAATCTTTGTCGGCCTTTAGTTCACAACCTGTAAATAAGGAAAAACAAATCTAACCAGGAAGAAAATAACCTGAAACTCTACTTGTTAACAGTATCAAGATACTAACTTGTGAACTAGTTTTTCAGTTCTAGTTATCGGAGGGGCAAGGCATTTCTTGAACATGAACTCTATATACACAGTAACACCTGTAAGACTTTGCATGTTCCATTTTCTCAGTGTAGTTAGTTTCATTCTCAACTACAATATGACAGCCACCACTCATTCTACAGTTACAAACAGGCTTGTGATTTATTAAGTCTGCAACTGAACCCAGTACCTAAAGCAAAGCCTAATGTACGACACTAACTCCCCCATTTATTTTAAAGCAGCTTTATTCTCTAATCTCAAGAAAAGTGAAAATTAGAATGAGAATGGCTGAACAAAGCGAACAGCTTGCAATTAAAACGGAAAAACTACAAATACAAAAGCAAAGCTTGTTTTTTTGAGAGGTCACCTTCTAAGCAACAGAAATTGACTTGTACACGTTATACTCAGAAGATCCGGGGATATTTCCAGTAGAATTAACAGATTTTGATACAAATTGATGAGCAAGTTCAACTATCCAAAATGGCTAGGAATAAACCCTTAATATGTAAGGGTCATATATGCACTTCCAAAAAATGTTTTAAATAGATGATGTAACAGCCACTGATCAATTAACAAATCTCAGCGTGGTTGAAGAGATAAAAGGCGGACAGGGTTCACACCTAGATCTGAGTCTGGCACAAGTTCACGATTATGCTTACTGACTGAAAGGCGAAGCAGGGCTGTCCAAAGCAGCTCAGCTCGCGTGTGGGGAGGGGGGGTCCCCAGACCCCTGGGGACAGTTGGCTGGACCCAGGCACGTTTGCGCTGAAGGCCACTGCAGCCCAGCTTTGGAGTAGAGAAGGGTTCTGGTTCAGGTCAGAAGCATGTGTGGAGTCACAGCCACTCATGAGCGCTGTCCAGGCCCACAGTGGACAGGACGGGCCCTAAGAGGGCGGGCTGCCATCACAGAGGACGCACTGGCCGGAACAAAGGCCCTAGGAATCCCTGTGCCCACGATGGGTCTCATTGCCGCTACGGGACCCCAGGCTCAGGGCCACAGGGCACCCGCGAGCCCGGATGTGGAGCCCACACCCCCTTCCCCGACCACGTGGCGACCACGTGGCCAGCGGGCCCCTCGTCGCGCCTCCCCTCCCCCTGGAACCGGCAAAGGTTCCGGGGCTGCGTCTTGGTCTCGGAGCACCAGGTTGCGGCCTGAAGAACGCCGGGCCGGGTCCCCTCCACCGAGGGGGGCCGTGCTGACCCCCGAAGCCCGTGTATGACACAGGCCCTCCCCCCACCAACCTGCAAACTTCCACGCACCTCGAAGCAAAGTCATACGCGCCTTGCGGGCCGGGCCACGCCGCGGCCGCCTTCCACCGCCCCAGGGCCCGGCCGCTGCCCACCGCCTGCGCCCGCCCGCCCGCCGCGCTCGCACCGCGCGCCTCCCCGCCCCCCAGGCTCCCGCTCAGGCCTCAGAGGCTCCCCGACCCCCCCAAAGCTAGCAGGCCCTGTGCGGCCTCGCCTCAACACCCCCCCAGCACTTGCCGAAAAGGTAGTTCTGGGGCCTCAGGGGGCTCATGTCCATATCCATCGAATCTTCCATGGGGCGGTACCACACGCTCAGGTGGGGAGAGAAGGACAGAGATAACCGACTACCGCACTCGAGAACAGACGCGCAGGACGGAATCACGCCAGGGAAAGGACGCGGGCTCCCCGCACATATATATAGCCCGAGGAGATCTCGCGAGAGCTTCCCCAAGCCCCGCCCCCGCGCGCGTGCCCGGCAACTCCCCTCCCCGCAGGGACGCGCTACTGCGCAAGCGCTCTCCCACCCCGCGCCTTTCTACCTCGCTCCCCCCGCCGCCTCCAGGTGCTCCGCGGGCTCCCACTGAGCACGCGCGTCGAGAGCGCTAGCCACGCCTCTCCGCTGCCGTCGCCCCTGCGCATGCGTGCGTTCCTTCCCCCCCACCATCCCCACCCCCAGCCGCGCCGCGCGCGCGCTCCCGGCCTCCAGCCCGTCCACGTCCTCTCCCGCTCCCGCGCGCGGGTCTCGCGCCCGGAGCCTGCGCAGCCCACCCTGAAAGATGGCGGCGGCTTTCCTCTGCTGCTCTGGGCCCAGAGGGTTCCTTCGCGCGCAGGGGGCCTGAGAACTGCTCGGTCCATCTTTCTCCATCCTCCAGTACCCGCAGCGTCCAGGCGGGCAGAGCTCCTCCTGCAGAGTTCAGTGTCAGGGTCATTTGCGAGTCATTTGTTGAGTAGGTAGATGAAGCTACTGGCCAGACTCCCATAGCTCTGTCCTTTCCCAGGAAGCAGCTGTTTGAGGTGCTTTTGCTGGGGAGCCCTGACTCTTAATGCGCCCACAAGTCAACTGCAGGAGCTAGGTACCCCAGCCTCCGTGACGTATCCATGTCCTTTGCTCTGAGCCATTTTCTCCTGCAGTCTCTTTGCAGCCATCTTGGAACCCGGGCAGGACCAGACCACCTGCCAGGCCTGGAAGACTTATTCTGGCAAGGTCCCACCCGGCCAAGCCTGAGACCGTGAGCACCCCGCCGCTTTTGACCACGGAGCACACCTGCCCGGACTGCCTAAGCGTGCACACCTGTCCACCGCCTGCTTGCACTTCTGTGTAAAACTAAGACAAATGTCAATTCCGGGAAGATGGGCTGAAGGGCTGTCTTCCCACAGCTGCTCAGAAAATTCCTCTCTTTGCCCTTCACCATTACTCCTTCCGTTGGGGCAAGTAGCCAGACCGGGCCTGTGAAACACAGGGCCTGGGGCTGAAGACATCTGTAACAACTCCGGGGTTCAAGTTTGCATCTGCGCTTTTGAGATCAAAAGGGGACTGAGAGCTGCAAGCATCCTAAAAGTTGAGAGGGGTGCAGGCACTGCTTGGTCTTGAAGGAAAAACTGTGGCCTGTAGGAAATGGCAAAGCCTAATTCAGATCTCTGGAGGTGTACCTGGAGTAGCATTTTCAACTACGTCTTGACAGACAGGACACCTGGAGACCTCAGCATGGGCTTTTCTGAGGCTACTATCGGTATCTTTATCTCAATATAGCAAATAAACTTAAGAAGTAATGTGAGTAATAAAAATAGTGACAGCAATGTCCCTACTCCCTTTACTCCAAATATAATCTAATAAAATCAGCTGTAATACACACTGAACCAATTACTAACAAAATCCTAAATTTGGAGAAGTCAGCTGGGATTAATGTCTGAATGGGAGCCAGGCACCAGTGACTCACACCTATAATCCTAGGTACTAGGGAGGCTGAGATGGGGAGAATCATGGTTTGAGGCCAGCCAGAGGAAATAGTTTATGAGACACCCTCCCCCCCCCATCTCCAAAATAACCAGAACAAAATGGACTGCAGGTATGGCTCAAGTGGTAGAGCATTCACTTTGCAAGTGCAAAAGCCTGACTTCAAACCCTAGTCCCACCAAAAAAAAAAAAAAAAAAGTGTGTGGGGGGGCAAATGCTTCCTCCCCTTTTCCTCACCCCCAATAAAGAAGTCTTCAGCCTTTCTCTTTCAATATGCCCAATATGAACATTTACTAGAGAAAGTCCTAAGGAATGGAAGAATATCTGTGTAAAGGAACTGGGCACAGCTAGGGAAGCAGAAAAGGAGAATTGGGACATTTAGAATGAGAGTCTCAAGACTGGTGGAGGAGGAAGGGAGCAGAAAGTCCTCTCAGCCAGTGCTGGTAATAGTTAGGACTACTTTGTAGCTTCTGGATTCTGCATGGTTGTTTGATTGCAGCTCTCAGCAGAACCTAAGCCATATGGGAGCCACTGCTGACAGAAATAACACATTCGTTGCTTCAACATTTCAGTCTGGCTAGGACCTCATAGAATTAAAGGGTCAAAAAACACTTAGTGCAAGAGAAATTAAAAACTTGCATTTTTCAGATTTACAAATACCACTGTCACTTTAATTATGATTCTATGGGCCTATTCCCAAGGGGTGACCACTATTAACAGTGGTGTGATATCATTCCAGACTTTCTTTTCTTTGAGACAGAGTCTTGCTATGTAGCCTGGAACTTACTATGTAGCTCAGGGTGGACTGTGGAAGTCACAATCCTCCTGCCTCAGCCTCCCAAGTGTTGGGATTACAGGAGAGAGCCACCACGTCAGGCTCGGACTTCTTTTAAAGTGTGTGTTTGTGTGTGTACGCACACACATCCAGAAATATATATTTGGGGGTGTGTGTGTATTTTTTAATGCGGGTGAATCACATATTGCTCCGCTTGCTTTTAATACTCAAAAAATATGTTGTCTGGACATTTTTGTCACACTGTACTTGATATGGATAATGTTATAATTCAGTGCTCACTCCTCCCTTGATGACCCAAAAGTATGTCCATAGTTTTGCTATTAAAAATAACGCCTTAGCCAAGTGCTGGTGGCTCACGCCTGTAGTCTTGGCTACTCAGGAGACAGAGATCAGGAGGATCACAGTTCAAAGCCAGCCTGGGAAAATAGTTTGCAAATAGTATCTCAAAAATACCTGACACTAAAAAAGGGCTGATGGAGTGGTTCAAGAAGTAGAGCACTTGACTATCAAGCAGGAGGTCCTGAGTTCAAACCCTAGTACTGCCAAAAAAAGTGCCTTAGTAAATAGCTCTGTAGCCTTACAGATGTGTAAAAGTACTTTTGTAGACTATATTCTAAGGAATGGACTTGTGTAGAATGATGAATGGGATTATACCTAGAAAAGCTTCCATACAGCAAGGGAAACAGAGTGAAGAGACAGCTTGCGGAATGAGAGGAAAAAAACCTTAACAAAGAAAGTTATTAACTAAAAACAGGCAAATGATCTAGACAATTCTCAAAAGAGGAAAGACAGGCTGAATGAGGGACCTGCAAGTAAGCTCTAACGGAGCTGTATCATGACCTTCAGACCGTCTCGTTCTTCTCCTTCACATCTCATGACACTATTTCTCTTGACCGTTCTTTACGGAGGAGTTAAGGAAAGGGAATTCCAGAAAACATAGTTTAGCCAGTTTGGCAGAGTATAAAACCACCTCAGTTCACCCCACCTCGTTAACTATATCTTCCAAATAAAGGCAATAGCTAATTATGCTTCTGGGTAGCACATTGCTGCCATAAAAAGCACGCTAGCCCTCTCTCAGAAAAAGGGTACAGAGTCCCATCTTGTGAGTTGCATTCCACCTTTGATGTCCTGCAACCATTTGAGTTGTAATTTTTCATTAAGATTTGTTACAGGACATGGGGGGACTAAGGTGCACCCCACGAGAATGACTGCCTTCAGATAGATTCCCCCTAGACCCGCAGTCTCCCTTTGACAGTAAAGATCAATCATGTAGCAAGTGCACAAGTCCCACTGTGCCTGGGGAGTCCACAGTGGGCAGGCGGCAGTCTCAGATTCCAGTTTAATGGCAGCATTGCTGTGCACCTGGTGGATGCACTCCTTCCTTGGGATCAAAGACCCCAAGACCAGCAGAGCCCAAAGTTAAGATGACCAGGCCGCAGCAAAGGGAAGGGGGCTTAGGTAGAGCCTGGTGGTCTCCCTGAGTTGGGAGGATGCAGCTGGGAGTTGGAGAAGGCTGGGGTGTGTCCAACACATGCAGGGCAGAGTCCTGGAGAGGAGGAGATCCCCCCAGACACCAGGCAGAAAGCCCAAGAGGGTATTGCTGCAGTCAGTGAACTGCTTTCATTCCACTGGAAGAAACGTCAATGCAAAACTCACAGTAAATTAAACTCAACCCAGTGTGTGCTTTTTTACACAGATAAGACTACTCAGCACCCATCAAGGTAAACTCACGTTACCTGGCATCCAATCAGAAATCACCTAGCTAAACCAGGCAGGATGGTATGCCCCTGGAGTCCCAGCTACTCCAACCTGGGCAAGATAGCAAGACCCTGTCTCTTTAAAAAGAAGAAGAAGAAGAATCCTTGAGGACACAAAAAAGAGGATAAAAAGCATTTCAAATAATAATGGCTTAACATTTTTCCAAGTTTGATGGGAACTATATGTCCACAATCTGAGACACATGAAGGAAATTATAGCAAGGTACATATTGTAATCAGATTGTCTAAAGTCACAAAAACAGTCAGAAGAAAAAGGCGGGAGAGAGGAGCAAACACACAGATGACCACAGACTTTCTGTTAGAAAAAAATGCACGCAAGTCCAGAGAGAGTGGAGTAACATCTTCAAATCACTGAAAGAAACAACTTCTAAAAAAGAAAAGAAAAGAAAAATTGCCCTTGTAAGATGCTGCACTGATGACAGCACAGAAAAAAGTGATAAATGAGACTTTGTAAAAATCAAAGTTTCAACATGGCTGTGATCCTAGCTACTCAGGAGGCAGAGATCAGGAGCATCTCAGTTCGAAGCCAGCCTGGGCAAATAGTTCGCAAGACCGTATCTCAAAAACCCATCACAAAAAAGGGCTGGTGGAGTGGCTCAAGGTGAAGGCCCTCAGTTCAAGCCCCAGTACTGTCAAAAAAAAAAAAGAACGAAAAAATCAAAGCTTCAGCCAGGCATCGGTAGCTCACCCCTGTAATCCCAGCTACTTGAGAGGCTGAGATCAGGAGGATGGAGGTGCAAGGCCAGGCCAGCCTGGGCTAATAGTTTGTGCAACTCCATCTCCAAAATAACCACAGCAAAATGGACTGAGGTGTGCCTCAAGCATTAGAGCACCTGCTTTCAAGTTCA